GAATTTATTAATATATCATGTAGATTATCATGTTGCAATCTTTTTCTACATTTTAAGCAATACACGATTCGTGATGAGGAAGGACGTTTGCTGTACGGCTTCCCACTAAGTTGTTGTCAGTGAAATCGGCGCAACATGTCGGCAATCGCACGATTTTTAAATGTAGAAAAAAGATTGCAACATGATGAGCATTTAAAGAATGAGTACATACGATTTATGAGTGAATATTGAAATGGGACATATGGTGGAGCTAATGGAGGATTCAAATCAGGCGCAGAATTGCTTTTATCTGCCGCACCATTCGGTAACAAAAGCATCGAGTTTGACTACAAAGGTTCGAGTAGTTTTCGATGCCTCTGCTAAGAGTGCATCTGGATTATCTCTTAATGATGCTGAGGTGTGGTCCAGTTGTTCACAGCAAGATTTATTTTCGATACTAGTTCGCTTCCGCAAGCATCAATTTGTTCAACTCCCGACATAGAGAAAAATGTTTAGTGCAAATAAAGGTGGCAAGGAAGACTGGGACTTACAGCGAATTGTTTGAGATCCAGCCAGCTAATTATTGCGCTCATATCAGCTACAACAGATCACGTATGAACGACTCCTGCTTCATTTCTATCCACCCATTGGTTCGATAAAGCTCGCGAAAAAGTGTTGAGTATGAACATCCGAAGCACTGTCAAAGGTGATTTCTGAAGATTTTTACATGGATGATTGATGACAGGGCGGATACACAGAGGAAGAGTGCTCAGTTGCAGAAAGATGTTAGCTTAGTGCTAGATTCAGCAAAATTGCCGTTGAGGAAATGGTGTTCAATTCTGAACTGTACAGTGTGTAATACGTCCGCGCGTCTTTGACGATCCCTGACATAGGAGATGATGACACAGTCAAGTCATTGGGTTACAGTGGAAACCATTCGCAGACCATTTCAATACATAATATCATGGCGAGATCCAAAGAAGGTCCGTATCGAAAAGGGCTATACTGATCTGAACAAATTTTTGATCCTCTGGCTTTCGTCACCGGTCTATGAAAGAAAATATTCTGCAACAGTTGTGGTCAACAGACGACGATGCACGACTTCAGCAAACATTCAGCAAAGATGGACCATTTTATGATCAACTAGAGCAATTAAAGGAGTTGTCCATTCCTGGTGAAAGGCGGATCTCTGGCGAACCGATATCATAGGATGGCTACGCGGTTTTGTGATACCGGAGGGTTGTATGGGGTCAGGCCCACATTCGTACCGAGCAGCGATGAATGGTACTTGTATGCTATGCGCAAAACCGAGTGGCTCCAAGCAAAGGAAGCACACCCGCGACTTGAGTTGAACGGAGCATTATGACAATCGAGTTGGCTCAATGTTGCTGAGTCATGGAAAATAAACATTCACATCGTCTGCTTATGGACGACTCAAATTATAGTGTTAGGTGGCGAATAGTCAGAGAAGCCGCCTGAAACGTATGTCGTGCCACCTATAACCAAATCACGATACAGAAGTTAGTCGCGGGAACCATATAGGACATGAAAACTCAGCCGATATACTCCTCACGAGGTTCCGGTCACGGAGCTTTAGAGGTAAGGTTGTGGTGGAACGACCCGTTCGGTTGAAATGATGAGAAGGATTGATCCAAAACTGGTAATCAATGCGGGAATGAAGAACTGCTCAGTACGGTTGCTGGTACTGTAGCAAACAAATTCAATGTATTTTTAGAGCACCACCAGAATGGAATCGCTTCGAGGAGAAGTTGTTATGACTTTATACGAGGTACTGCGTAAGATGATAAAATGGGCCCCACCCTTAGGATGCCTGGATTGAATCTGAAGAGGAAAACAATTCTATGAATGGTTCAAGCTGAGTGTTTTAGCAAAGAGATCTGTCACAGAGCAGCGACATGAAGCACCACAAGAAACAGCGTTGCGGAGAGAGCGAATCCTTTAAACGATGGTTTGATACCGTGGGTGGAAGGCTCGTTAACCACCAGAGCTACGGCCTTATGAACATAAGCACCCGCGGTGCTACCTTGCCGCACACAAGTGACTCCGCCTGATATTGAAAATATCATCTGAGTTTTCATGGAGGACCCCAGCCTTGCTGTTCGAGGTAAGAAGGCGATATCACACCGTTAGGTCACCGAGAACCGCAAGCATCAGTGGCACGTTGTGTTCACGTAACAGCACATCCACATTAACCACCTATCATTGGCACCCCAGAGAACGAGTGATGCACGGCCTTTCACCGTCACAGGTGTAGATTTTGCAAGACCATATATCCGGTGATTATATTATTACATTGTATGTTTTCCACAAAAGCCATACATTTAGATGGCTGATGATCTTCAGCAAGTTCGCAACGTTGCGTTGTTTTATGCTCCAGAAGAGGGAAATGTGCTAAGATTTATAGTGATACCGGTACAAACTTTGTTGGTGTCAGAAGGAGCTGGTCTCACGATGAAGAAAGCGGTGTTTAGATTTAGAGAAAGAAGGTATTGAGTGGCACCAACCCACCTCAGTTCTTCTATTTGGCGGTATATGAGAGTGCGGTAAAAGGTTAGCATCATTCGAGGAGAGTTATATCTGACCATAAGCACAAATACTGAAATGCGAATACTCACAGCAACGAGGTTTGTCTTTAACTCAAGACCAATGACTCGTTAACAGTGATCCTTCCGACTTGGCTGTTTTTGACTCACCGCACTTTTGATTGAGGACTATGTTGTTGTGCTGGCGAGCGACATATTCATAGCAGCCTAAGGTTTATTAGCGATGGCAAAATTTGTGCAAAATTTGATGCAAATGTTCTGGAAGCGAGAACAAAGAATATCTGCCGCTATCAAGTTCTGCGGCAAATGGACCAGTAAGGAGCGCAACTAGCAAAGGACGATATTGTAATTATAAGTGATGAATGGCTGCCTCCAGCCAGTGGAATTGGGCTTAGCCTGCAGATTGGCATCCCGGTTCTGATGATGTGTTCGTCATGGACCTCAATCGACACATACATGCGCTTGGCCAGTCGTCAAACCGGCGTAGGTTACCGACGGAGAAGGACATGCATCGGTTGAAATCCAAGACTTTCAACGGGGAGAATGTCCGCCGTGGACGCGGCACAATAATAAACAATATAATTATATAACGAACGAGCGAACGTACGAGTCACCGCCGATCGAACACACACACAATCACCATTTAAATTATTGTTTATTTTGTATGTTTTATTTGTGTCCCGTGAATTATATAACATTTAGATAATCGCCACTATCGCTCGCCGGATCGCTGTGAATATTAATTAGCACGGCCGCCGTATTTTTGTCTTCCACCGTACGTAATTGAGTAAGACCGACTCGCGTTTGCAGTTTTCATCTTATTTTATATTATATTTAACATTGTATTATTATTTCTAAATTGTAAAATTATTATTCTCATATTTTTACGTGCGACAGCCACAAGGGCCATTTATTAAATTTTTGTGTTTCGTGTGTGACCGTGCAATTATTTATTATTATACCTATTTTGTATTAGATTTTCGTATAGCTAGTAACTACAGGAGAACCAGCTGGCCAGTCTGCGCTCCACAAACTGTAAGTTATTTTATTATTATTATTTGTTGGGCCAGAAGGGCCACGTTTATATTTGTTATATATTTTATCATTATATTATATTTTATATTTATTATATTATTATATTTTATTATATTTGTTTGGTCATAAGGGCGCAAATCATTCACATTACATTTTTAATACGAGCCACAGCTCTAATAGCTGTAAGCATAAATGTATTCGGTTCGACCATAAGGGTCGTCCTTTTATATACTTATTCATTTAGCCATAAGGGTTGAAGTCATATAATACTATTACATTTGGTTGAGCTAGAGTGGCTGATTATATTGTATTTTTATATAGGCTCGTATAGCAGCACCTATATATTCATTTTACGAGGAAGAGAAGGGCGCATATTATTATATCTATTTAATTTGCAAAATGGCCATGTTATATTATATTACATTTTTCATATTTTCTGTTGCTGTTTTTATATATTTGTGGATTTTAAATTATTTGTATATTACAGCAGCTTTAGTTACCAGATACCGTTACCTTTATTTTAGTTTTGCAACACCGACACATATACACACCACACCACCACACTAGTCTCAATAGTCTTCTCGGCGATCCCGTCCACTTATTGAACTGCTACCACTATACACATATCACAGATCGGTCGGCGTGTGATTCCGTGCGCAAGATATTTGGTGACCGGGTCACGGCCTATTATTGTGTCGTTCCTCGGCCCGTTCACTAACTGCAAAAAAAAAAAAATTTATATTTATTGCATTTTTAATACAAATGATCATAAAATAAAAACAAGTAAGTACTTGTAAAAAAATATTTATATCTATCTCAATAACTGAAATTAGAATTGAATCATCTAAGCAAAAAAAAAATCTAAAAAATAAATTAATAAAATGCTCATTGAGTCATTGAAAAATTAATTTTATTAAAAATGTTATTTAATTTATTAGACCGTCAATTATATATCCAGATTATATTATACATGACATATTACATATCTACATATTTTATAATCTATATTCTACACATATCGTCATCGATTCTGTAACTTATTCTTTCTCAATATTCTCAGCATTTATCACAAAAATGATTTTCATTCATCACGACTTTTAAGTACCTCTCCTTAAGTTCTATTTGTTCAAACACTCAGTTCACCATTCCTTACAACCTATCCGTTTGAAGAACCAAAATAATCCAAGTAATGAAACTAGCAAAATATGAGTTCCTATTTCCCTTAAAAATAATAACTTCTTTATAATCTGATAAATTTTATATTCTTTTAATATCAGATATCAAAACGTACATTATAGTACAATTCCGAAATTGTTAATAAATTAATGAAATTAATTAGTGTCAACTGGTAAGCTTATATGCGTTTTGTAATTACACAAAACTGATCTCAGGAAAAATCTATCACAGAAAAATAAAATATTGAAATACAATCTTATAAATTATCTTTCTTTAAATTCGTAAATATTTATTTTAACTAATTAACATGTCCATACGTTCGCATAATTTTATAATTTTAATACAAACATTATGAGTTAAAAATTAGTATATTATACTCAACTGTGAATCCTTGTTTACTCGAACAACCATTAATTGAATCTTTTTGTGCCAATATAAACTCAACAGTATTCCAAAACGCTGTGGATTTCATATTCCATGGTATATTTGATGTTGAATTACCATTGTAACCATCATCCAAATTCCAGTTACTCGTTAAACTTGTCCATTTTTTTCCTGTCTGAAGTATATCTTGCCTAATAAAATAAAACGATTCTAATTAGCAACAAAACAAATAAAAAACGTGAATAATGTATAAAAAATTGAATATTATTAATTGTAATATAATATAGATGTAGGTGTAAAATAATTAAAATAATACATATTAATAAATTATAAATATATTCATGAATTAAGCGTTGTAATAACATAATATTCATGACTCATATTATGTAAGTACTAGGTACCGTGAAATATATTTCTATACAAATTTCAAATATAGTTAGTTATTTCTATATAGTCTGCTATGAAAATTATCAACATAAATTATTATATTGTTTTGTTTAAAATTTAAAACTTATACCTCTTTTACGCCTAATATTTATTGTAAATAAATTATTTATTTATTGTAAATAAATATTAGTACCATAAATTTTAATTTTTATATGAAATTCGATGTTAGCAAATTACAATTAAAAAAAGTAATTTAAAGGAACAAATACTGTCAGATACTTTAAGCATTATATATAAATATAAGTTTATTATCCATGGTTATAATGCTTTTTGAGTTTCTACTTATTTAAAGCATGATTATATAATAAATATAATGTTCCAAAATTATTATGCAATTTCAATAGAATAAACCTTGAACCCGTATTTTGAAATGAACGAAAAAAGTGGTTCTTATGATTTTTTTTTTTTTATTCACTGACAATAACTTGAACTAATCAGTTGCTGTCTAAATGTTTTAATTTTCAATAATTTAATAAAAAAAAAGTGTTAAAAATCACAAAAACGTCATTTTTAACTACAAATAACATACATACGTACCTAAATATCAAAAACTTATATAAAAATACTAATGATGACTAAACAGTATAGTGTTCGCTAATTTAATATATGATTATTATACCACTTAAATTTTATCTATTCTGTCATCTTTTATTAATGGTTTGTAAACTAAAAATAGTGTGTGGTTTTCACTCAATATTTCAGACCTCAGTATATGAGTGCGGTATTTTGCTAGTTTGTCATATAATGAACCGATAGTGTGTGATTTTTCTATCAACCTTTTTAAGATCAAAATCATAAGTGTATAGTTTTCAGATACAATCATCAAAATGTTAACTAACCAACAGAAAAGCGCTTTTTCCTTTGCCACCCCATCCTCCCAATCTTACAGTTTGAAATTTCTTTCTTTTAGATGTACAAAAAAGACAATGTTTATGTACACCGATCTAAGAGATTATGTTGATGGACTGGAAATTATTATCATAAATTCTATTAGCTGAATTACTATCGACGACTTGGATAGATTTATTTGAATAACACTTGAATATCGGCACAATATTGTCTGCAGTGCAAGTAAGGGAGGTTCTCTTCTGCCCTTCATTAGTCACACTGAGCATTTGTAAACATCGTAATAAAATAACTGTTAACTTAGAAAACTTATCTTAACTTATAATTAATTAATTAATTACTCGAGTATAACAGTAAGTGTGATTTTTGAGACCAGATTATTAATTTTAGAACACTCTGTATATTCAAGTATATTTGTTTTATTGCTACAAGTTCTTTATAAACTTACAATTTGTATGGCATTTGTCTATACATATCATAGTATGGTAGAGCATTAAAACTAAAACATAAATTATTCAATAAAAATACAGGTTGCATGATTTCGCAAGGGTGATCAATGATTTTATCTTTCCATCGAATTTGTTTTATAGTATCTTCGCATTTGGTTGAAAATTCCTGTAAGTGAAAACACATTTTTGAAAACATTCATCTTAACATATATAATAATTAAATAATACTTAAAATAAGTATTAAAAAATAAAATATTTAAATATTACCTATATATGTATCATATGACATTTGCATGTAACTAAAAGTTAGTAGGTACAATTAATGTACCTATCAATCATTTTGAATGATTTAGTAAATTTAAAATATTTTTTAAGAAAGGGCTTTCTTATATTTTACTTCTAAATTAGAATAGTAATGTTTATTTAATATTAAATTTAAAAAAATAAATAGTTTTCCAAACAAATTTATTTCATTATAAATAAATTAGTATATTAATATGAAATATTTATATTATTATATTAGTATTGCTGATTAAATAATAATACAGTCGACTCTCGATAATTCAAACCTTCAATAATTTGAAACCTTCGGTAATTCGAAGTAAATACTCGGTCCCTTGAAAATCACGCGTGGGTAATTCGAACAAAAACAATATATTTAAGTACACTCGGTAATTCGAGATTAAATTTTGGGAAAACTGGCCACTAACACTTGAAAATTCAAAGTATCATTCGTTTAACACTCGGAAATTTGAAGTATATTCACCAAATGTATTTTATCTGTATTCTTATAATCTTTTTGTTTATAATTTATTAAACAATCATGTAGAAATTTAGCTTATTGTTTTTGATAACTATAAAATATTATCGTAAGAACCTTATCATTTTATAAATTTTATTTCTTAATTGTCTCTAATCGTAATTTAACTCGTCGAGTCGTCGATAACTCTAATAATTCTAGTATGTACCACCTAAAACCTAATTTGCTGGAATAATTAATATGTACAATAATAAAAAACAAAATTTTTTTCTTAACTCTCTATAATTCGATTTTATTTTGCCCTCTCGTTATTTCGAACTACTAAACAATTCGAATTCTCGGTAATTCGAAGTTTTTCAACAGTCTCGTTAACTTCAAATTATCAAAAGTCGACTGTAATTTAATAATATAGGTACGACGTACGTATAACTTAAAGTTAAATTTAGTGGTGTTATTACTGATTAGTTAAAATTTGTTTGAGAGGAGGAGGCAATTACAGTAGTTTTGTCGCTAAAAGATATTTATTATTATTATTATTATTATTAAGACAAAAAATTTTAAAAAAATTATAAGATTCTTCAATAATTCATGCCCATACCGTAAAACTTTATACGATTTATAGCTTACTAAAATAATCTAAAATAAGTATAACATAAATCATTATAATTTAAGTATAATTTGTTTTTCTAATAATGTTGAAATAAAAGTGTTTATTTTTTTAATTTAAATCATAAATATATTACACATAACAAATATCGTGCTTTAGTATTAAAATAATCACAAAACAAAGATTTAATTTAATTGATTAATAATTGGACATACTTTCAGTACTTTATAGACGATTTCGGGATTTATATATTCTAGTTTAAGGATTTTATGTTTCCATGAACACATTTCATATACAACGTTCAGTGTCTGCCATCTAAAAAAATAACCAGTAATTATCTAAAATTATTTATTAATATAATATACGTTCTTAAAAATTCATATCATCATTAATGGAATTGATTTTTGTAATTAAGTAATATTATATTGAACTCTAAAATGCTAAATAGGTACTTCCTAATGCATAATGCAAAGGCATTAATGTTATCAAGGAAACAGTCTTAAAAATAAAAATATCATTTATAAAACTATGATAGCTCCAATTTGGTCGTATGGGATCCAACTTGTGGTTATTTTATGAGTAAATACTGATGGATGTTCTTGGTTAACTAATCTTCAACACTTCAAACCACTAGGACTTTAAAAAACTAGCCCATCACTGTTACAATAGATTTTACCGCTAGAAGACTGAAAATAAATTAGCCAAGAGCATCTTAAGTCAATATAGGTAATGTTATTTATTTTTGTAAATATTATTAAATATTCTCTAAGGTGCCATTATTGAATAGTTTCCTTTCACTTACATCTCTTATTCTTATGTTCTTATTATTTTATTTTTTCTTAATTAAGTGCTTTGAAATATTCTTACTACATTAATAGATTACAGCTATGTATAGACCGTAAATATTTTTAAAAAAAAATAGTTCTATAATTACTATTGAGCATTATTTCGTATAGATTAAGTCTCTGACTTCTCTAAAATGCTGACTATACTTATAATAAATTAACGTTTTACTATTTTATAAATTATAATATAAGAATATAATTTGGTAATATAAAATTCAATGTTTAAGTATACAAATACTCACTCTTCGTCGGTTTTGTTTTTTTGCTTCCAATTCAGTATGGAGGCTAAGTTCATTGTATTTGAACTAATAGGATCGTTGTGACAAATTGTTATTGCGGGAAATGGATTTTCAGATATGTGCCGTGGTTCGTTGATATTAAATCTATTCACTGGAAAATTGTACCATTTCAAGACTATATCGTACGACAAAAATCCACATAATACAAAAGATCCAATCAATACACTTATCCAATAGATCCTATTAACAACACAAAATAATTATTAATATGCTATATACTTATTAAATTAATATTCCCTCACACGTATTATCACAAATCCATATCAATATTACAGAAATTAAAATAATAAATGTATTTTATTTGATAATATATAATGATTTATATTTTATTGAAATTAATGAATGACTAAATAAATAACTATTGCACAAACATGTACCACAAAAAATAAATAGCTTATTAACTATTTATGTTCAATTTAAATCGTTATATCTTATAAAAATTTAAAACAACAAAACTGTGTTAATTCAGTATGATGTATCTTTACTAATAATATGCACATAAATTCCATACAGACATACAGTTTAAACCAACTTAAAACCTTCATAAAAAAGTTAAGATATATAACTTATAAGCCATTTTAGTTAGTACAAAATATGATGTGACAAAAATTCACATTGTACCAGTTTTATAGTATGATGTTACCAATTTAGAGAAAATTGTATGAGTTGATGACAATTTTCTTGAAAATAAATGGTATTTTAAACATGTATAATACATTATGTAGTTATATACTATAAATAATAATAACGACTATAAGAGCTTATAAGTATAAAGTCTTAACTTACATCCTATTTCGAATAAAAATATTATATAACTAAGGTTTTGAAGTAGGTAAGTAGATACTGCTTGTAATACTAGTTATATTGATCCAATATTTAGTAGATTTTGAGGAGATCCAAAAACGAGACATTGAAATTTATTTTAAAATTAGTTTGAGACATCTCTCGTTAAAAGTATACTCTTTCGCTTTAATTTTAAACTTATTATTAGCTCACAAACTCATTCTACATACTTAAACAAAAGTATCTTCTTTAGCCATTTTGGGCGTTTGACATTTTTATCCGGAGCTCTACCGAGTACTCAAGTATAAAAACATTAAAAACTATATTGCAAACTTTCTAGAACATCTCCTGTCATTAGCAAAGCATTCTATCTATATATATATCATATACGTATCAAACAAAACCCTTCAATCTCGTTTTAAAATCTACTATATCAACGAAACTATTTTATTATTTTTATAAACGATCCCGAGTAAAACATTTTTCGAATCCCGACCGACTCATCTCACAATTTGCCTCAAGTACGCTTTTTAAAAATCCGCCAAATTGGCAAACGAAACTAAAGCATTATCCGATCATCTAATAAACCAAATCATCAAGTCTCTAAATTGTAGGTACATATAACTCACTTTCATGTCATTCATCATATGATATTATTGTAAATTATTTACTTAAATAAATATTTTTATTTTATATATAAAAAACATTTATTTGTATACATTATCATTTTTTCAAATATTAAATTAAAAAAAAAAATGTATGAGTATACAATATACATACTTACGATGAGTATTTATTATCTGTCCAAAAATTATTTCTTAATTTTGTATATTTAACTATATTATATTTTTCTTTACTTATAAAATACAATAATTTACTTTTAAATTTTCCCATTATTTTGAATGTAAAATTATTGTCGCGTTTAACGCCAAGTGCTTTAAACAAAAATATCGAAACTAAAGTAAAAACGTGGGTCGTATTTATTACTTATACCTTTTTGTACACCTACACTGTCGATTTGAAAATATTAAAAATTTGTAATATGCTATACTTTATTATATACCTATATTGATTAACTTTTTTTACTATTATTTACTTTTAACAATATGATATTATGAGTAATGACACAACTGTATTATCTCGAATTCTCTAGAGACTCTAATAAAAGCTATTTATACCTATTATATCGTGCGTGTTTAGTACACACAGCCTTTGTCAAATATGAATGTATTAATTGTATTTAATGCATTTCCATTTTTATTTTAAATTACAAAAAATAATATTTATTTAATCTATATCATACGACACATTTTTATATTTTATTGAATCAATGGCTAATGTACCTAATATACTCGTGTACGCTGTATAGTAAGTGCTACTGCCTACTATTATAGGTAGTACAATTGTCTATACATTTTATTCTACATGCATTATTCACACTTGAGCAAAATATTTTCTTAGAATTTTGATAGGCACATAAATTGCTTTTAATAGGCATACAATAAATAATAACTATTATAACTTTAAGTATTTTAAGTTTTGATGAGTAGTAAAAGTGTACCGGCATAATGTTAATCCACTAACTAATTATAGCTGCTTGTTTGAAATTATTAGATATTTATAAACATCAAAATTCTCAAAAAAATATTCTACTACGAAAATCTAGCTGAACATAAAAAAATACATTTCATAATTTAAAAAGTTTAAAAAAAAATGCGTAACAATATAGATATAAAAATATTACGTTTTATTTTTCAAATAACTTAAAATTACGAAAAAAAATTAATATTTTCGAAAACTATAATACTTTTAATGTAATAAATGTTCACTGTTAAAATAACCAACCTGTATATTAACATTATGCATGTTTAAAATTATTAACTTAATATCATTTACGTATACGTGATGCACTTATACCATAAATTTATAATACCATAATATAGTAATAATAGAATGAATGTGTACAAACTATATACAACATATTATGTTGATTATTATTTATTATTTTGTAGTTATTACTTATTGCACATGGTTATTTATTGGTCTACGTGGTGTAAAACATGCTCTCGCGCAGTGTAGATATTATATTATTATAATATATTTATGTGTAATATTACAACAAATACTCATAATATTTAAACTATAGATAATATGTAGATTCTTTTTACACGATGAAATTTTTAAAATATTCACCGCGTATGTTAACCGATAGAAAAATGTGCGCTGTTTCGGTTGACGAGCAAAATGCATTCGTGAAAAATAAAGAAAACCCTCCACTTTAACCTTCGGCCTAATTAACGCACGACAAACGCAGATGTTATGCCGATGAGTAATAATAATAGATGTGTATAGTTTTTAATTAATTGAAGAAGCCGCTAAAAAGTTGTAATAAGGGCTTCGTCGCGCGCCGCACGAGCATTATTTGCAGTGTACATGCCATATTAGCCTAGAAACGGTCGCATCCGTTTACGCGTAAACGTCGATTGTAAAATTATCATTCGGTGACGTGCGTTCAGTTATTATATTATTCGTAATTAACTTAAATAATAAATTGTAATAAACCGGCGAATAGATCTACTCACGCAGGGTTGATTTTTCTTAGTCTGTGCCGCGCGTATGTATATTCAAGTGTGTGTGTGTGTATATACATATTTATATATATTACTATAATATAAATTATCCAATGTATAATAATATGTAAATATATTAAATATTTATCAACACGTTAGCGTTTTCTTCACGGTGAGCTGATAAAAACCCGAGTTTTACATACTGATAACGACTCGTACATATTTTTTTTTCTATAACTATGATGAGAATAGGCTCGGTGATAACCTCGAGTAACCCCATTAAAACAGGTAGGAGGTTTCTGAAGAAATAAATATGTAAAAATATGGTTACCTACTTATAATAATAATTGATGAGCAATACAAATGAATATAAGCTATTATTATAGTTTATTAAAAAAAATTCTATACTATTTCCTATTGGTTGTTCTAGAAGCCAAATAATAAAACAAACGAGGAACATAAAGACCATACTATATAATATTATTAGATTTCGATGTTTCGTACGAACAAACATGAGCGGCGATATTTGCATCACTGCGTTTTAAAAAATAAAATATATTATTTAATAGACATATAATAAAAGTCGTCTAAATTAGACGATTATTTTTATTACGAGATGAAAATATGCTATTCTGTGATTTAATTAATAATCTACCTCGGTGTATTATCAAGCAGACGTTCATAAGCAAATATTAAATTGAATCAATAAAATATATCTTAAAGTCGTTTTCAAACAACACATTTGTTAGATGAATGGTTTTATTCGTTATATACGATATGCTAAGTGCTGTTTATAAAACAAAATGATTTTCAAACAATGTATAAATGTTGAATACCTATAATAATGATTGTTTATTAATTTTTGTAAAAAACCAAAAGACAATAAATTAAATAATTAAAGCTGCGGTTACAAATACATTATAAATGTCATTAAAGGTGCAAGGTAAAAGTAGATTAAGTATGCATAATTCACATTTGAACATTTATACAAGTATAGATTTTATCTAGATTGCAAAATATGCAAAAACTCATACAGATTTTTTAATGTGTATAACCACAATATTAATATTTATAGCGCTAATAAAATTACATTAATCAATCGATCATTAATGCAGACTACTTCATCTAGAGGAATGAATAAATTATTATTTCTTTTTACAAATGTACGAAGACGAATTTTATAAACCATAATTTTTACCTGTGTTATATAATTTTATACGTTTTGTGAATGCCATCACCCATCATATAAAGGAACTAATCTCAATGTTTAGATACGTTTAAATGTTGAGATGGTAGAATGGGTATAGGTAGGTATTTATTAGTAAATATACAGACATCCATTAAACTTAAGTATTCAAGAATATGAATTCAACAAAATACATTCTGTTTTGAGGTAAAGTACTTTATCTACTCGTAAAAAAATTGTCATCTTATTTATTTTTAAAATTTAAAATATCAAACATTTATGATTAAAAAGCTTTTCCGGACATTTAATGTTTTTCATAATATAAATAAGATATTTGAAAAAAAGTATAATAGTTTGTTTAAATGCTAGGTATAAATAAATACACGAGTAAGCTCAATTTATAATATTGTATAGTAATCTTGACTATTGAACATTTTTCAAACAATATTAAGTACCTATCATTTTTTTAAATCGTTCAGGTATTCATGTCTACTGAATTAATTCATGTATGAAGAGCTTTATGCTGATAATTTAAATCTATTATAGGTTAGGACGAAAGACGTTTTAATTATTAGATAACATTATACCTGCAGTATCATCTAAATTCTAAACATGATTGCCATTTAATAAAAGCATTCGCAAAATTATAAAACTAGGTCAAAAAAAAAAAATGCTAAATCTTATGTAATTAAAATGTTTATTTTAACAACCATATCCCTTATGATTTCAGATGTTACATTACACTATTCAACAAATAATAAAATTTCAATAAAAAAAAATGTCCATTATTTTAATACAATTAGAGTTATTTAAAAAAGATGAAATCATAGTTATTAAACTTCCTTATTATAGTTACTAAGTTACAATTAGCAATTATATACATATACATATCTCAAATTTAATATTTATTATTTACATCTTAAAATAATAAATTAGTTATATATTCAAATACATTTTTTTAGAATATTATGTATTTTATTATAACTTTTTTTATAAGAATCTTGGAAAATACTATCAGTCTACTAAAAATTATCTCTAAAAAAACTTATTTTAAATATCCATCTACTCAAATCTCTGTACTAAATCTCTTCTAAATGTAATAATAGATCTCGTTAAAATTAAATTTCTTATGTATAAAATTATCTTTAAAATCAACTTGAACCTAAAGACTCGGTTATAAGTAAATATAAAAAAATCAAATATAAATAAAATTTAAGCTTTTCATAGCAACTTCAAAAAATAAGTTATGCCTCTCTCTACACTCATGTACATATCAAAATATCAAATTCAAAATACTAACAAAAAGTGTCATTTTTTATAAATTTCCCGATTTTTTCCTGTCATGCTTTTTATTTACTTATGACATTATGCTCATCATGTCAATTTGATTTGGTTTGAATATTTGTATATTATACTATACGGAAAAATCAGTGATCTCATTAACGATAATAAATTTTAAACCTACTTCTCGACTAAGTACCACGTTTAAAATTATAATTCTACATACATACTTTATAGTTTCATAGATTATTCATTTAGTCTTTGTTAATCGACTTAGGTAGATATCGAAATAAATATTTTATTATTTATTTTTTTTTTTCAATAATATGATAACTATTGACATTTTAACTGTAAATATTAAATTATACAAAAACCGGATGTCAATATTAGTAGCGATTAATGGTGTACCGTATCCGTGAGCATAATATCATAACCACGAATTATTAACTAGTTAGGTACAAATATTATTTTATCAAAACAATTTATAATATTCATAGTTTTATATTATTACTATTATATATTTATCTTATCTACATCTATTCGTATAGCTCACACGTGACTTAATTTTCTTTTGTTTATTACGCATACTGCCTAATGCCTATATAATTAACCCAGGAACACGATTTCAAAAGCTAAGTTAATTGGAATATTTATAAATTATATTACTTACATTTTTGTTATACATATTATGTTTATCAGCAACGGCTATAACATAATATAATGCAGTTGCATTTTAATTGAACACAATAATAATAATATTGTAATTTTGTTACGTGTTTCATTCCGTGATTTTATATATTTACTTCATTTTTAATAATTATACATATATTTTAATATCAAGATATTTGTAATTAAATCCATCCGAAATGTATTTAGCAAAAAAAAACACTTTTCACTTTTAATAGTCCACAATAACACACGCATAACAAATGACAATATTGGTCATACAATAATTTAATCTAATGAGAAGAATGTAATAGCTATTCGATTGGTGATGGTGAATATGAAATAAAGGTATTATTATTTATTCAACGCTTTTTCGTAACTGTGGAACTTGGTGCGTAGGTACATAATAGTTAATCTCATTACAATTTTTTGACACGAAAGTACCCAAAATAAACGTTTAAATTGTCAATACAATATGTACAGCAATGTTCTTTGAATCCTCGACGAAAATTTACCAATCCAAGTAATGCCTTACAGCAAATTTCATTTTGAACATACGCCTGCCGGCTTTGCGAATATCAAACGCGGTTATTCGACACGTTTTTTGTAAAACAAAACTATCAACCGTCAATTTCCAAGTGCGTACTTATTCCAAACTTGTATAATAATTAATTGCATAGCGTGGTAAGTGAATTAGACGCGGAAAACTGTTAGATATAGTTATCGACAGTAACGTCGACTGAGAAACAACGTAAAATGTTAATTTATTTGTAATGAAATGAATATTAACTATAATTCAAATAATATTTTATGAATATTAGTGTTCGCATTACGTATTATTCTACACGGCAAAACCTAGTACATCAGGTAATCATTAATCAAATATCAAATGCTGATAAATGAACAAAAGACATCTCGTGATAATTAAATAAGCTATACTTATGATATGTATAATAATTGAATATCTTATATTCTTATCAAATGTTAAACAGTGTAGAAACCCATATAGTATACACGCACATCCATACACATTTAGTTCAATTTCATGCGATGTTAATAGGATATATTGAGTTTATTTTGTTTTATAAATAGGTAATCATAACGTTATATAACACCGTTGCTATATTATTTTAACGTTTCGATTGAATCTCTTCTTTGTATTTTCTACAGTATACATTGTATAATATTATAATTATAATATAATACAGATTATAGACCCAGCGCTTTCTTTGTTATTTAACTCGCGGAAGTTAAATAACATCACAAGATTGTTAGTATTATTAACAATAATTTATGAATAAAATCACATAAGTATGCATTTTCATTAAAAAAAAAAAAAATAATTTTATACTGCTGATGTATTTCAATACGCGATATCGTCTTCAATTCCAAAATGTTGAACGCATTACCTAGCTTTAAACTTATTTTTAATTTTTTTTTTCTTTTTACATCTTGTAGATGCTTTACTGACTAGGTTTTATCAATAGTTTCCTAAACGACAAGATATCCATTACAATATGTTAAAGAAATCTCTTCACGTATGGTATTAAACACTTGCTAAATTTAAACATAAAATATTTTTTAAATTAAGATTTAAAATTATTATTAATAGTTTATCGCGTTGAAGCCATGCGTATGACTAATTATTAATGTATACTTTGTTAATATTATTAACTATAATCATAAAAATAAGCAAATAGAATACATTACCATTATGACTTCTATCACGGAATTAATGGTAATATATTAAATTATGTTCACTTACCAGATGTTTTTCATAAAGTGCCCTTAAGTGCAGGTTGTATAATATACAAAAGATATATCATATCTAAAAAAAGATTATTTTGGTAGATTTAGATTTAATTATTTTAGGTGATTAATGTAATGTTTCATTTTTCTTTCATATGTTACATAAAGATAATGCAATGGCAATTAGTAATATATTGT